TAAAATAATCATATGACTCCAGACTCCACTCCAAGCCTCCAGTCCATGAATTACACGGTGCCAATCGGGCTTGGTACTCCATAAAAAAATGAAAGAAAATTGGTTTATATCTTATGGCTTTTGGAATGTAAGTTAGATTTTAATAGATATCTATATGATTTAGAAATGCCTCTAGAAGGAATGTTATGCTTAATAATTATAAGTTAGAATTGATCTTATTCCCTCCAATATAGAGCGGATTGCTATATTTGTTGTTTTATTCTACTTTCGATTTCAGTAAATTTTACACATTGCAAGCCTTTCATGTATACATCATAATATTATCTATCCCCACCCTCTTTTTTTTCTCTCTCTCTCTCTTTCCTTTCATTATTCCACCTTATTGTTCAATTCCCCTCTTTTTTCAATTTTGTACATTGTATCCTCCTTAAAAATTAGTCTAAAATACATGTCTTTGTAAAAGTTATGATATATATTATTGTAACATTTCATGATTTGTACCTTGATCTTTAATGGAGAGAACTTATATAGGCCATTTTGCCTGCTGTTCAATCCATATTCATTGTATATACATTTATGTATATCATGAATAAAATACTTCTTAAACTAATATTATCTATTTTTTTTTTTACTTTGTAAATACCTAACACTCCCTCCACCCAAATTGCCTCAGAGAATTAAAGGCTCAACCCATCGAGGAACTTGAATCACTCAAAGTGCTGTTTAGACAGCATGTATGTAATGTGATCTTTTGCATTATATTTATGGATGTATCTTGGCAGTTTAAAAATATTTGTTTGGTTCTCTTCTTATTGTCAGTATATCTTTAATTTGATATTGATGTAACGGTATTTAATAATTTCATAATGATTGTTTATATTTAATTGCTCTAGAGTAGTCATTTGTTTTGCTTACATAGCAATGTTGACTTATTCCGTAATCTTCAAAATGCATTGGTCCTCACCAAAGGTGGATCCAGGGCCGTCCCCCCCCCCCCCCCGTTTGAATTTTTTTTTACATGTATGTAGAACTTGTATGTCCAGTATCTCTAAAATCAAGGAAAAACACCTCTTATTTGTAAGAATTCGTCAGCTTCCCCAAACCCCCACCAGGGCTTTGCCTTCAATGCAGTCCCCGACCCAGTCGGTGCCTTCTACTGCCCCTCCCCTCCCCTAGTTATGAAATTCCTGGATCCGCCACTGCTCACGATCGCGAGCAATGTCCCCTAAATTATATACGGGGATTTTCTCAGTCCGTATAGTAGTAGAGAGGAGAGAGAGAAGATTAAGGAGTAGAGTAGATGATATGGGATAGGCTTTATGACATATTGTGCATTATTTATCGTGAAAAATTGTGTGTGATTCTTGGATTTCTATTCAGGGGACTTGAAAATTAGAGTTATCTCTTTAATCGCTACGGCGATATTACATTCAGTCAATTTTGAGCATTTCATGTGAGGCAAAATGGAGGTTCATTTCAAACTGTACATATTATCAAAAATATATCAATAAAAATCAAATTTATGCTGAGCTATATATTTATTAATCTTACACATCTATAAAGCTTTGATTGATAACACTTAAACCATCTCTCAATCAGCTGTTACAAGCTCAAGAGTGGGTAAAAAAGAAAAGCTTCTTAACTTTTTTACAATTTTTATCGTAAGTTATGGCAAAAGAATTTTTTTCCTTAATAAGCAACCTGCCTTATTTCTTAAGACCCTTCTTAAATAATATTGACTGACAATTTTAATCACTCCAAAAATGGCAAGTTAAATAAATTTTGCAGTCAAAGTAAATATTATAATGATAATTAACGACATATTCTGTGATGTTTTCATTTTACAGTGGAGTCTTACTTTGTACCTTACCTTTATCTTAGGTCTGGTCTTCAAATACTAGTATGCATTAAGCTACAGTGGATAATTTGATTAGCAATGTCCCGGAGAAGTAAAGAATCCGAGGAAGAAGACACATCGGAGGAAAACAGTTTTGCACGGGTTGGTGATGACCCAGGAGAGATAAATAATGAGAAAAATGAAACTGGGAAAAAATCAGAAGTCAACCATGTATGGAAGGGAATTACCGCCAAAAGTCTATTTATCTTGCTTTTATTCTTATTCTGCCTACTTCTTAATTCTTTGTTATTGTTGTAACTATATGTCACTTTATTGTTTTCATATTCGTCTTTATTACATTTCACTTTGAACTTTTTTCATTCTTCATTTTGTCCTTACTTCTATGTTGCTTTATTCTTGTAAATTCGTTCTTCTTTCTTTTAAATTGATACAGTTTCTTTAATAAATAATTATGGTCATCTCTATTACAAATGTAAATTCAGTCACGCAAACCATGAAGCGCATTCAACGAAGACGAATACAAGTAGTGTGGATTTAATGCGGCATTATAACGCTAGGTGGCAGGGTGTTCGCTGCGAGTGTTGGTAAAATTAGGTACGCAAACCCGGGCCGAGGTTATTCGAGATTTTTCAGTTTTCTGTCTTAATACTTTAACAATTGAACCCAAATTTTCAAATATGTATGTTATAGGTTCAGACATGTACCCGGTGTCGTTCCCCCTGAAGGCTGCCTAGATGGTAAGACTTCCCCCGGAAAACTAGCTATATAGTAAGACTTCTCCAGAGGAAAGTCTCACTATATAGTCAGTCTTCCCCTTTCATAGCGAAACTTCCCCCTTTAATTTAGTTTCCGAATATTTTTTTCCGTTGTAAAACAATGTTTTTATACTAACGTTTTCAATGTTTGGATAAAAGTTATCCGTCCTATATGAATAAATAAATAAATGTATGAATAAATGATAAAAACATTTTAATAGTGATTTTTATAATCATAACTTTTTAACCATGCAGGTAAACATAGGTAACTGCACGTTTCTACGGGTAATGACCTCTTTACTGTTAAACTAATTATGTCTTTTTTCTTTTGATAAGAATCGTCTCGGAACAATACTATAATCTGCTGTGCACGATAAATTTTTAATGCGCACTTTTATATTGATTCATTTGAAACTATTCATCTTTTTATATATATATATATAAGATCATTACCTAAATATGCAATATATACATCGTCAATGTAAATAAAATCGAAACTGACCAAACACGGAAGGGGAAGTCCCACTATGGTCGTTTAGGGCGGAAGGTTCACTATATAGTCATTGCCCCCCCCCCCTCCCCCCGGAAGGGAAGTCTCACTATATAGCCAGACTTCCTGGGGGAAGACTCACTATGGGGTAAGTCTCACTATATGACACCGGTAGCAGGGGGGGGGGGGGGTGGCCACCAAACATTTTTCTAGCCATAACTTTTTACTATTGAAAATGTTCAATGAAAGTCTGGTTAACCCCTCCTACTTTTTGTTGTAGTTTAGTCAAATAAGGGCCATGTACGTAGTGACGTTTGAGTAAAATTTGGTACTGAAAGAAGTTGGACCCCCTCCCCCCCCAAGTAGAATTTTCGAGTTTGAAGACTTTTTCTCTTTTTTTTTTTGGTTTGTTTGTTTGTTTTGTTTTGTTTTTTGGTTTGTTTGTTTGTTTCTTTTTTTTTTTTCTTTTTTTTTTTTTTTGCTTGTCAAGATTTTTAGTTAAGTTGTTTTTTTTTCTCTGGCTGCTCCTTTCAAAAACAATGCTACGTCTCTAAGTTTTATCTGTATTCGCTGTAAAAATTGCCAATATTTATATTCATGTCTTTATATTTTGAAAATCTCAATATTTTAGATATCTTTGACGATTTTTGATTTCCAATTTGCTAAGATGGGTAGGCAATATCAAGCCGACACTTTACGTATTTTTTGCCAAACGAGACATTGAAAAAATAATTTTTTGAGTTATTCTGATGTCAAACACTGTGTGCTTACTAGAGATATTTATTTCTTTATTGAAAAGTGCTATTTCTATACAAAAAATTAATACATATTTTCAGAAAAACCGGGGGGAAATTTCTAGTATGCCCCGGTCTAGCCTGGTTCCGACAACGCCAACCCATGACGTTCCGCACTACTTTGCAGAGCATTGTGGGTTGGCCGAAACCAGACTAGCCCCGCGGTCCCCAGAATCAAGCGACTGCGCATGAACAGTTATTATCCTGAAATAAAGAAATGTCAGTTCAGTGGAAGAATATATAGGGGTCCTAAAAACAACTCAATTTATAAGGGTATACTAGTAATTATCAAAATATTTAATATTTTTATATCAATAAAACTGAAATTCAATCATCCAACAAATAACTTGAATAGAGTTACTTATTTTTTCAGGTGACAGAAAATACACAATTATTTTGAAGTTTTCATCATTGGTCCGGTTTTAATGACCCAGATTTTCTTAAAACGTGTTATTTAAAGCAACAAAAGCACATTTGAAAGAAGAAATGCTTATAAATAGTTAAAATATAATGTTTAGCATCAGAATAATATATAAATTTATTAGCTTTTTGTCAACAAAAAAAAATCCACTAAAAATGTCAGCTTGATACTGCCTTCCAAAAACTTGGAAATCAAATAATTTTCTTCAGAAAATCTAAAATATTGAGCAATTCGGGGCAAATTTACCGCGTATACAAATAAACTTATAAGTAACATAACTTGAAAATTTGGGCTCGATTGATAAAGTATTAAGACAGAAAATTGAAAAATCTCGAAAAATTTTGGCCCGGGTTTGCGTACCTAATTTTACCAACACTCGCAGCGAACACCCTGCCACCTAGCGTTATAATGCCGCATTAAATTTACACTACTTGTATTCGTCTTCGTTGAATGCGCTTCATGGTTTGCGTGACTGAATTTACATTTGTAATAGAGATGATCACAATTATTCATTAAAGAAACTGTATCAATTTAAAAGAAAGAAGAACGAATTTACAAGAATAAAGCAACATAGAAGTAAGGACAAAATGAAGTTCAAAGTGAAATGTAATAAAAACGAATATGAAAACAATAAAGTGACATATAGTTAAAATAATAACAAAGAATAAAGAAGTAGGCAGAATAAGAATAAAAGCAAGATAAATAGACTTTTGGCGGTAATTCCCTTCCATAACCATGGAGGTGGTGATAAGAACACAGGTGACAACTCATCAACCAGTTCTAACCAAGGAGATAAAAGACCGAACACTAGTCCTGTAAAACAGGGTGATTATACTGCTGATGATGACGTGAAATCAACAGGAGACACGGAACAAGAAAAGGAGACAGAATCTAAAAAAAGCCCAAGACCATCATCCCAAGGGAACAGTGATCTACAGACAACTACCGAGGATGTCGAAGATTCAGGTAACCTCTCTGTTGGAACCACTGATGACAACAAAGACAGCCAAATGGAGAGAGATACGGAAAATGGTGCAGGAACTACTGAAAGTAGTACTGATGGCAAAACCACTAAGCCAATCAATGATGACGACACAAACAGCACTGGTGAGATAAGTACTGCAGACGTCCCAGATATTGGAAGTGAATCAGAGTGCTATGAAAGCACAGAAATTCCTGAAAATACAGACAATTTTTCTAAAGAGACTGGGTTAAGAGATGGACAAATTTTAGCTCAAACACCAGAGGCAAAAGTTAAAAGCAAAATTTTCTGGAAAGATATAATGAAAACACAAGCAGTTACAGTTATATTGGCTGTGTATGGGTAAGAGTTACAATTGAACAGTCCATAACTTTGATTTAATTTGTTTGCTGTATGTATCTTTAATTAAAATTAAATGTGTTCATATCTTTACTTTTTTTCAGTGTTTTGATTCTTCTATTGTTATACCTGGTTCTGAATACACCCTATTCATCGATCCATGTACCACCAACAAATGTTGAAGGTATACTGTATGGTGGAAAACATTTTTTGTCTACATTTTAACATCAATTCTCTGTAAGGACCAAAATTTTACTGTAGGGCTGTGGCACACACCATGAGCGATTTGCATGAAACTTTTTCAGGTGATTAATGCCCATACATTATGACATAATCAACATTCAAAATTAAGGTTACTACCTTGGTTGCCATGGTAACGGGCTAATATAGATTTTTGCCCCATTTACTCTCAATTCAAGCATAAAAATGCTATATACTTGATTTCACGTGGTTTAATCATCTTTATTATTTTGAGATAATTCATACATTATATGAATAGAAAGAATGAAGCACTTTATAACACAATAAAAAAAAATTCTACAAGTCACTGCAAATTCTTCAATTAATGGCTCAAAGATGACCAAATTCTAACATTTTGAAATGGTGGTTATTACCCTATATTTCAAGAAGTCTTTCAAGAAATGCAGGCAATTCAAGAAAAAATCACCTGAAATTTTAGAAACACCATAATAATATTAGTTAACTTTTATGAAAAGTAGAGTGGGGATTTTTTTTGTTTTCGGTAATTTTAACTTCGAAAATTGGCATTTTGCCCAATAATATTTTTTTCAAAATGTTACTAGACACTGGTTGTTTTATAAAATTTCTTTTCCAAACATTTTTCTCACGAATAGATAAGACAAACGGAATGATAAGTAAATATTATTAAAGATAATAAATAAGATAAAACAAAATTAAATGAATTATTATTGTTTCTCTATGATCCTTTACAAAGGGCAGGTAACTCAAAATCTGAAGAAAATTAGCTATTCAACTTTTCACTGGAACTTATTTCAGTAAACAACATTTTCAAATACTAGATAAAAAATGGAAAAAGATAATGGACAAAAACTCTAATGATACTTTTCAACCAAAAAAATAAATAAATAAATAATAAATTCGGGCTTTATGGAATTTGATCTCGTGACCAACCCGTATTTATATCCCGATAGATGTTTAAAAAAGATACTTTATTATTTATATTTACATTTTTTACTTATCCATATTATATATTAGCCTGATTATAACTTTAACGCCTGAAATGTTTTATTTTTTCAAACTCAACGGCACGAGTTTGATCTGTTGATTTGCGCATCGACCCTTTATGACGTCACTGAGAAATTACGTCGAACGTTTATGACGCGAGGAACCTGTGTTTATACGGAAATAGATACGCGTTGCTTTTAATAGTGTTATATAAAAGAAAACATTTGCAAATGTAAATATTACTTTTTCATGCATAGGTAGGTAGATATTAATTTAGCAAGTTTGAAATTTGATAAGCTATTGTTAATTTCCTCCATTTAAATTTTGCTTCTTCCCAGATGCAAATCTTTAGATATCAATTTGAAATTTAGAGTTATTTAGAATGACCATAAATTAACACCCCATTAAAAATAAAACCATTAATGTATATTCTTACAATCAGAAAACATACACATATTCATGTGTATAATTTTATCGTTACTTTTAAAAACAGTTTTTTTCTTCAAATTATTAATCAAGCAAGAATCTACATCTAAACATTATCCAAAATGTGTATTTAGAGATAAACAAAATGTAGAAAATAACTGCTATATAGCAAATTTGTAGACAATAGAAACAGCTATGCTTGATGTTTCCGTGATTTCTCTTTACATCAGAGGTTGGCCATTATGTGGCGTTGTGTCTGACCAGTCAAGAAGAATTTTAAATGGGTTTGAAAAGTGAAACTTGAAATAATCATCTTCATCTTTTCCCCTGGAATAAAAAACATACATGTACTTTAATTAAAAACCAATTGTTTAATATCTACTACATTTTTCATGTGATAACAAATACAAGTATATAAGCATATCTATTTTATTAAAATGTATATAATACTAAGCTACTAGTTAGTATTTACACCTCCAGATAAATTGCCTCAGAATTCCTGCATGTGTACTTTAAAAAACAGGCTTCCTATCACAGTTGCTTGGGGACGGGACCCCCCCCCCCCTTCCCCTGCGTTCTATACCCCAAGGGTTCTCCTTGACTTTTTTTATATAAAATATTTTTCTATGACACATTCACAAAGTTTTTTTTTTAAATTGACTTTAGACACAAACAAACATACATACACATACACAAACACAGACACACCACGGCTGGAAAGCTTACACACAGATTTTTAGGAATAAAAATGAAATAAAAAAAAATATGAATACAAAAGATATAGTAAAATAATAATGTAGATGACATAGATTTATCTATATGTTTATGTTTTGTTCGCTAGGTGCAAATATCTGGTTTCAGTTAATCCATCTTCTTTTATAGTTTATACACATGAAGTTCATTGTTTTATTTATTTTTTATAAAAATTCATACTCTTGGATACTAAAAGAGAACTTTTAGTATCAGAAAGTATGAATTTTTTTAAAAAGTTAGTTTTAAATTATATTTTGGATTTTTCAATTGTAATACTTTGTGAATGTGTCATAGAAATATATTTTATTAAAAAAAGTCGGGGAGAACCCTTGGGGTACGGAACGCGGGGGAGGGGGTCCCATCCTCAAGCACCTGTTCTTCATATTTTATCGCCTTGAACGCAGACAACAATTTGCTAATTACTGAATATCGTAAATAAACCATTAATAAATACAATACATGGTGCAGACGTATGTAGCACTAATTCATGATTACGCCAACCACTCCATACCCAGTGATTGCGCTAAATTTTGAATACGCCAATTTATGTACACACAGTATTTTCAGTGTAGCCAATTGCAAGGTAAAAGTAACTGAAACAATTAACCATCACCTACTCCAAAAGCTGTCCCCATGCTCTAACAGAATATTCTCCAAAAGAATATTGTTCAGTTAAGATACTGTCCGATGTTCAGTTCTCACGGTCAATTGCAAGGTTTTTTTTCTCCATTAGTTAATTTTGTAACTGCCTCCTGCTTCTGGTATTTAGCCTTTGTGTTGAAATAAAGATGATAAAAATACAAGAATAAAGGTTCTCTTTATGTACTGGTATCTTTTCCTCTTCTTTTTTTCAAAGCACCAGTACATCTAAAATATGTTTAAAATATTTTTTTTCAAATTAAAGAAATTCGTTCTTATTGTCAATCATGAATACATACATTTACATGGGTATATTATATTTATATCTTATTAGTGTGTATTTATAGCTGCAGTTAAATTATTCTCTATTGAGAAGCTGATGGCTCGTTTTAATACTCCCCCTCAGGGGGAGTATTAAAACGAGCCATCAACTTCTCAATAGAGAATACAGTTAAATATGTTTTGTTCTTTTACAGTGAATCTGAATTATATGACTTCTTTTTAGGCTAAAATTTTTTTTTATGTGTTCCCGTTAAGTCGACCATCTCTAATTTTTACCCACCACCTACCGGTACTACTTTATTGGCCAAATCAGATTTTAAACTGTACCACTGGCGGATTTAGAGGAGGGCCCAGCCCCCCCCCCCTCCCCCCCCGTGTCTAAAATATACATCAGATTTAATAAATCAATTTTTTGGTGTGGCCTTGAGCCCCTACCCCGACACCAAACTGGTCCCTTCCCCTTTTCAAGATTCCTGGATCCGCCACTGTGTACAACGTTACCAAAAATATATGTTTTTTTTTTTTATATTAAATTGCCTTGTGTATATTTTTCATTACATACAAACTTGCATCTTCTATAACATTCTCCTCCTTTTGATAAACTTTGTAGTTATGATTTGCCAAAGTAAGTTGCTTTCTGAAGCAAGCAAAAATTCCTATAATGCAAATATATTACTAAGATTATATCTGGAATGTCCTGCTAACATGGTGATCTTTGAATATAGACCAATTAAGTCTATTATAGAAAAAAAAATTATTTAATTTAAAAATTATGTCAATTTAATTGAAAAAGCTTCTTACATGTAGTTTTTATACAAAATGAATATTTGAAAAAAATCAAATTTATACCTGTGCCTAGGGTTGTTCTAACCATTCCCACTGACTGCCGTATCTTCTGCTTGTTGTATTCCTCCAATTGCATCTTGCATTTTTCTCATGGGTTTTAGAGAGTGCATGGAATCCCACATGATGGGAATACAAGTCAGACTTCATAAAATTTGTTTCAATATTTTGCAAAGTGAATTTGACTTTAAAAATCTATTATTAATAAAGACCTATACATCATTATCAAGTTGAATGCTGAAAAAGCAGTGTCTCCTTCTTTTGATGACTTACTTTGTCATTCACACCTGAATTCCATTTTAAAAAGTTGAAAAACACATCATTTTTCTGTTATTGTTTCATGTTTATTTTTCTGGCGTCTGTTTTTGCCACATGTTGTTATAAACTTCTTTAGACTTCAATACAGGAGAGTCAACAAAGGGAAATAACACCAGTTTAATTTTTTGTCTTCAGTGCAAAAGAGTCAGCAAAGGGAAATAACTCTAGGTTAATTTTTAGGAAAAATTATAATTTGAGGGGATTGGAATATGACTTTTAACTGATTTCCCCACCTCAAATCTTTTTGCATCTTTTAGATCTAAGCTCGATCTTACTAAAAATATCTTTTTTCTAAGTTTCAATTGCCTGCAAAAATTAATATGCATATCAAGAAATAGGCACCTTTGTATTCATTTTTATGACAAATTCATGTAAATTGATCTGTATCATATTAAAAACCTTGGGTTAAATTGAATAAAATTTAGATGCACAGAAACTTTAATTACTTAGCTATAAAATGAAACCCATGTTATGTTGATAACTTTCCTACATTAAGGAAGCACAGAATTATTTTACATGGTGATGACAATCAGGTCAGTTTTGCCATAACAAAATATTTCAAAGTCGTTGCTATGGAAACCAAGGAGGTACTCTCCAAAATTTACCCACCAATAGTCTTTATATAGGGCACTCTCTAATATTATAGTGATAAAATAAAATTCCATGATAGTGCGTGGCCAAGCATTTTTGGTCCTTACAGAGAACTGATGTTAAATCCTTCTCTTCTCTTCTATCAATTTCAAAATGCCATTCAAAGAACTTTTTTAATCACAAATTTATTGACATTAGTACATTAAAGAATTCAGATAGAATACTAGAAAAACTTTGTGGAACATTTCAGCATTAGTGAAGATTTCTAATCTCAATCAGAATTTTGGAGCCCTACAACTGGAAAATTCAAAACTCAAAAGTAAAATTGACAGCTTAGAAATAGAAATACAGGAAAAGAAAGACGAGATTAGAAAGCTGTATGAAACAGTGGAAAAACTTCAACAGATGGTGGATAACCTGAGAGAAAAACTTCCCTTCCTGGCCGGGAAGATGAAGTGGATGGAGCAGGAGCAGACAGAGCAGGGTAAGTGAGTTTGTTCTCATGGCTCTATAGAGAAATATCAGTAACAATTAATTTGTTCCATATTTTAATGGAACTCTTCATCTTTGCAGTTTGAACACAGATTTTATGCCCCTTGCGAGAATGAGAAGTCACCATATACATATGAAAGACTTCAAATGAGACCTTTACTCGGCACTCAGGGCCATTGAGCAGTGAGGGGTCTTTATCGTGCCAACGCCTACCGTGACACGCGCCCTCGGTTTTTAAGGTCTCATCCGAAAGACCCGTGACTTTTACTTCTAATGCCAGGCGCTTGGCGAAGGAACAGTCACTATCTTTGTTTACAGGACGCGGCGCCAGAAATGAGAATCAAGCCCGGTACATATATGTACCTCCCGATCACGAGTCGAGCGCCCTTTCACTAGGCTATCACGACCGATCACAGTTTATTTAGACTACTTCCATAAAGGTCGTATTTCTTTTTATGCCCCGGGATCGAAAGATCCCGGGGGTATATTGTTTTTGTCCTGTCTGTCTGTTTGTCCGTTTGTCTGTATGTCTGTCTGTCTGTTGTCAACTTTAACCTTGCCCATAACTTTTGATTGGTTGGAGCTATGACTTTCATATTTCACATGTGTATTCCTTGTGACAAGACCTTTCTTTGGGTACCATCATATTTGACCTTTTGACCTTGACCTTGGAGTTTGACCCACTTTTGCAAAATTTTATGAGACTTTAACCTTGGCCATAACTTCTGAACAGTTGGTGGTTGGGGTTTCAAACTTCACATGTGTATTCTTTGTGACAAGGCCTTCCTCTGGATACCAACAACTTTCACCTTTTGACCTTGACCTTGGACTTTGACCTACTTTTGAAAAACTTTAACCTTGGCCATAACTTTTGAACAGTTGGTGCTTAGGGTTTCAAACTTCACATGTGTATTCCTTGTGACAAGACCTTCCTTTGGATATCAACCACTTTGACCCTTTGACCTTGACCTAGGAGTTTGACCTACTTTTGAAAAACTTTAACCTTGGCTATAACTTTCGAATGGTTGGAGCTAGGGCTTTTATACTTCACATATGTAATCCTTGTGATAAGACCTTCCTTTGAATACCAATCACTTTGACCTTTTGACCTTGACCTAGGAGTTTGACCTTCTTTTGAAAAACCTTAACCTTGGCGATAACTTTTGAATGGTTGGTGCTAGGGCTTTCATACTTATCATATGTAATTCTTGTGACAAGACCTTCCTTTGGATACCAACCACTTTGACCCTTTGACCTTGACCTATGAGTTTGACCTACTTTTGAAAAACTTAAACCTTGGCCATAACTTTTGAATGGTTGGTGCTAGGGCTTTCATACTTCACATATGTAATCCTTGTGACAAGATCTTCCTTTGGATACCAACCACTTTGACCTTGACCTTGACGTTTGACTTTATTTAAAAAACTTTAACCTTCACCATAACTTTTAAACAGTTGTATCTAGGTCTTTCAAATTTCACAGTGTATTCCTCGAGACAAGATCTTTCTTGGGTATCAACATTTTTTATCTTTTGGCCTGGATTTTGACTTGCATTTGAGAAACTTTAACCTTCGCCATAAGCTGCCATACGGGGGCATCAGTGTTTCACAAACACATCTTGTTAATTCTTTTCTTGGAGGGATATAATACTGTATAATTTTTTCTTGTTTTCATTTTGTTTTATTTTTTAAAAAGGTCTTATTTGGTTTGTTTCAGGATTTATTTTTCTTTTTATCTATGATTGCAAGAATTATCTGTGTGTAAATTCTTTTGTATACATGTTTGCAAAGGGGGAGTTTCGATAAGGCCGCTTAGTGACCCACTTTTTTTTCATAAAAATAAATTTCAATTTATTTTCTCAAAACAAATTTAGAATTCGAGATAAATATGTTATCTTTTGTTATTTATATTTCAAAAGTTAATATGAGATGAATTCACACCGTAACTGATACATACTTAGACGTACCCTCAGATCCGTTAACATTAGGCTTATGGGAAAATATAAGAGGGTGGCATTTATAAATCGATGTTTAAAATATGAAGTGCATGAGGAACACTCACCTAAATTTGTTCAGTAATTAGATATTCTCTGCACACTAATTTCTTGAAATATGATGAGTGTCGCGTATGCACTTCATATCCAAAAATTGAAAATTGCATAAAATTTGCATATCTGAAATTAGAAACTCCTGGTTTCTTGATCTGACTCTGTGTTTAAATACTAATCCAAAAGTAGCATATCTTTTTTGAATCAAAGAAGATCCTCGGTTATATTAACAGTAGAAAAAATTATCGTATCCTATCTTCATTTCGATACTTTTTTGTCGCCAACGTATAACGTTAACGTCACATATATTTAGCTCACCTCCTCGAAGTTGGGGGAGCTTTTGTAATACCGTCGGCACTGGTGTTCCAGGAAAAAGTTTTTGAAGCAGATTTTTTTTCAAGTATATCTATGCCCTATATTGATCCGAGTCACCTGATCTAGCATGTTTCCTTGTCACCAACCAGGTTTCAGATGCTGAATTTTTAGCCAAAGAATGTCCAGGTAAATGTTTTAAAAGCAGGTTTAAGTTTTTGGAACAGAGCAGCTGTAAGCACTTGCTGACCAGACTTGCTTCATGATGCATATATGGATGTACACTACTAGATTGCTTCAGATGCTGGATATGACCTACATTTTCTTATTGAGTGAGCAGGTTAAGATTTTGAAGCGGGTCTCATTTTTATGTAACTATAAGCCCTATCATGATCAAACTTGCACTGATGATGCATCTAGCATCACTACCAGACATGGTTCAGATACTGGATCTTTCTTACATTTTCCGACTGACTGAACAAAAAATAAGTTTAAGAGCAGGTCCATTCCTTAACGTTATTTATCATGCATAGATATTTTTGACTTTCTTGTAAATAGAAATCCACGCTCCAACATGCTAGAGAAGCGCCCATATATTTCCGTTTGGAAATGGATTGTTTTAAGTCTTGATGTCTAGGCGCATATGTCTGCCTGATTAAAGATTAAACACATATCTTTGGCGTTTACACATGTATTTCGAACTGCGCTCTGGTCTACCAAATCATATATAATGAATTCTAAAACTCTCTAAAAAAACTCTCTAAATGAGAAATGACTAGAGTTGGTGAAGCAACTTAAGTATCTATGGAGAGTTGGGAAGCGAGAGGAAGTTAGTCCCTCTCAGTAACTCTCAGTTATGCTGAAAACATAATGCAGATCTATATGGACAAATACTTCTAAGTTTCATAATGAAAAGGAAACACTCAATGTATTATAGATTTTTCCATCATTTTGCAATTCACATATTACGTATCATGATAAAATATTTTTCACTGTAATTAATATTGTTCATATTATCAAATACATTGCAATATACTGAAGCCGGTAGGTTCTAGGTAAAAAAAAAAGATATATTATCTGGCAGCCGCCAGATAAGTTTCTAGCGCCTGCCATTGAAATATCTGGCGACCGCCAGATAAAATTGTAGTGTTTTTGCAAATCAAGTTGTAGCACCCAATGATGTACCTTAATGCACTTGATTGAGAGAGGTACACAGACCGGGTATTTTGGAAGGCGGTGCTTAAAATCTTTGCCTTTAACGACATCTACAACTTCTGCTTGTAGTCAAATCTTGGAGTTTCATGCCTTATTATTTACACTTTATACAAAAATTCACTTCATAAGATCTTCACCTCATAACTTTAGATTTATGTTTTATTAGATTACATGTCCACACCGCAGGAAGGCTTCTAGGTATTTACGTGGCGACCGCGAGATAAGTTTCTGGTCGCCGCCACTTATTTATGTGGTGGCCGCAGGAAAACTATTTGGCAGCCGAAAGATATATTTTTCTAGCGGCCGCCGAATAATTATGTGGCGGCCGCCAGATAAAATATTTTTCTTACCTTGCACCTACAATGTACCGGCTTACGCAGCAATATTATGCTTTTAAATAAACTTTTTATTTATGTATGTATAGAAAGTTGCATTTATTTTTTAATCTTTTTATTTCAAAACATTTTATTTAATCTCAATTTTATGATATTAAGGTATTTTAATAAAACATGTAGTTGTATAACCTCATTGATGAAAATGTATTGCATATATCTGTATCTGACGTTTTTACGTTTACCTATCTCATGTCTACATATCTTTTCATTTGCATTTTTCTTATGGGAAAATGTTAAATATTGATTAAATTTATATATAAACTGTCGATTAATTATGAGGTTAAAACTTTCGATATATATTTACTAGGGATGTCAATTTTGTCAATAATTCATATTCGAATATTCAATGAAAGTATTCGAATATATTCGAATATTCGATAAAATAAATAAAATTTGTTGTTTTTTTAAATATACATCATCCTACTCTCACGATTGGTTTACGTAGGTATACTTATATTGGAAGTAAATTGTTTGAAGACTTTTGTAGTTGTACAATAAGAAATTCCATTTGCTATATAATTTTATAATTTTAACAAATGAAACATATGTATTTATAGTAGCTCCAACTGAGGAATCAGTCGTCTTGCCAAAGGCAAGATATAGTAGTAACGGTATACTGTTCAGATTTCAATACAATTATCTGCCTAATAAGAGATACAATTATAATCTTTGATACAATGTTTTTAAAATATAAACAAATATTTCCATAGACAATTTTCTTAGGTAATTAATTAATTTCCCGATAATGAATATAAAATTCAGGATTATATACAACCCAAGATATAATAATTTAATCTGAAATTGAGCCCTTTACAAAATTAATTACAGTGGACATTCATTTGAATGATCAATTAAATTTGTTTTGATAAGTATACTCTTCACGTCTTTTAGACATTCTAAGAAGGTTTTCATTTTGTTGTCCTCGATTCTAGACCCGATCGTATTTAAGTAATAAAAAACTATGAAAGTACGTTTTGTATTATACATAAAGCATTATTGTACAATTCTTTAACACCTTACTCAAAACAAAATCCATGTAATTTAGTAATTCTATAAGATAAGAAAGTAGTGAAAGAAATCAAGCGATCGAAATTGATCGCTAGTAAATTAGACAGGGATAATTCCAGCACTGCTCTAATCAAAATTATTTATGAAATCTGAAAAACACCGAATATTCGAATCTTAAATTCATATTCGAATATCAACTCATCGAATGAATATTCGAATGTTCGAATATTCGTTGCCATCCCTAATATTTACGTTTTATAAGTTAAATTCATCCTCTTTTAAAGAAAAATAACATTTAACACACCAGAAAAAATATCACACCTTAAAAACATTTGCATAAGATAAATACCATTTTCCGTAAAAACAATTGTTGAAATTGGTTAATTTATGTCTTTATTCGTATTTATCCTATTTCATTTACGATTCTGACGGTTAAAAAAATCGACTTTCCCCCTATAAATATGTCTACTCCAAAAATATACGAAAGGGGGTATACTTAAATTTTAAATTATCACGTGACCGAAAAATGCATAACATAAATTATTTTCATATTTTAAGGAAGATAAGGAGTTTTTCTACAAAATATCAAAATTTCATAAAATTTTGTGAGGGGCCGAAAAACGGCCTTATCGAAACTCCCCCTTTATAGGTAGAATACCTAACCTAAAAAGACCTCATCTGTATATAAAAAAAAGCAATTCCCAACACTTTACAGGAACACTCAATAGGTGTACAATTACCGTAAAGAACAGCGGTCAGTAAAGACAAAACAGCACATCTAATCACTAATGCAACCACTAAATATGGCTTATCAGTAAACAGAGATCCGATTTTTAAAAACCTAATGAATAGAAGATGCTTAAAACAAGGCTTTCCTTGGGATTTCATTCTATTGTCAATGCTTTCCTCACTTTGAGATTGTTTCTATTTTTATAGTAAATTTTACTTTCTTTCTTTTGATAGGTAACTATATCCTGCTATTTCTGGTTATATTTCTGCTCATATTCCTTGGAATAACTTATTTAATAATGCGTCGCAAAGAGACACCGCATATTATACCAGGACAAGTAGAAAGCTTTGCTCAGTTCCATAGCAAAGTTGGTGGCAAAACGGTAGAGTTTCGCTTTAGTATGTACGAACATTGATAGAAAGAAACATGACTCATTTGCAGGATTGTTTCAATATTATTATAATACATTCTCTTTACAGCATACATCTGTCCTCGATAAGATACGTCCGAAAAGTTTGGACAAAACAATTGGAATCGTAAGCTTCAATAATAACACACAGAAAGTCCACAAGGAAATGCTTCAGCGCGCTTTAAATTCAAATGATAGAAATACTGAGGTAAGCGTTCTTTGACATTTAAGTTTTACAAACGATTATATTGTTTGTAACAATCATCTACAAGTTCCTCACAAACTTGGATTAATTCTGTCATTTTAATTCGTTTTATTCACAGATTGTTGCTGTTGTTGTAGACAGAGCAGATAAAATTCTGACGATACATCCTTCATGTTTATTGTTTATTTTTGTGGATAGAAATGATCGAAATATCATTCTTGAAGACCCAGACTCGGAGATTGGTGACCTTAGGCGACTCACAACACAAGGTGTTATGAAGATGGGATGTAAGTATTGGAAAACCCCCCAAAGAAAAAGGTCCTAATGAAATCTTGATTCCCTCTCGTTTAATAGTTAATATGTTAAATTGATAAACTAAAAAACATTTCTATTTTATTTTGTTTCGAAGTTCATCTGTAAATAGTTCTAAGAAGATAATGATTGATGAAATATTATACATAATATAAGAAATATACATTAAATGAAAAAAGAATTCTAACTAGAAAAATATGAAAAGTCGTTTATCTTATATGTTGCTATCTTAGAATTGTTTAATGTTCTCGCTGTTTTAATTACAGGTACCGTGGCGGTAGTCTATGTACATGACAAAGAGTCTCGGGATTTAGATGGGCGTGACCTATATAATCCCTGCCTCCAGTCAGTCAAACGACACCCTGTATTAAAGGAATTGCAGGCAGATGGGCGTGTCTTCTCTGTGATGGACAATTTCAATCAAAATCAAAATAAACATATTAACCAACTGCTGAAGAAATGCGGATTGTAATGTGTTTAAAACGGAATGATTGAATAAAAACTATATCTTTTTTCCTAAATAAAGGGGAATTCGGGATAAAAAAGTTTAGTTTTACTTGGCTTTAAATGAACAATGCATGGATTTTTAGCTCTTTTGAGCCAAAGGCTCAAAGAGCTAATGCTATGGCATTTGTGCGGTGTGCATAAACTTTTTACAATATGGGCCATAACTCAAGAACCCCTTAGCCAATTATTGTCAAATTTGTCACAGGGTATCCTTTGCCCAAGGGCTCCCGTTTGTAATAAAACTAGGGCTGTGACCCTTAAACAAGGGGAGATAATTAGGAAAATAGAAACAAAAGTACTGGTTGCTAAAAAATCTTCTTCTCAAGAACCACTGGGCAGATTATCACCAAACTTACACAAAAAGATAAGGATATGTTGTAGATTAAAATTTGCACAGGAACTTACCCTGGGTCAAAGGGCGTGGTCTCAAAGATCACTTCAAAACTGACCAAAATTTACATTTTATTAAAATGTTGATATTTTGCTTACTATGAGGACTAGGATCATCAAGTCTTGTCAGTTGATGCATCTAAGGACCTCATATCATGTTGACTCAAAAGTAGGTCACGATGACCTAATTTTAAATTTTTGCGGCCATTCTTTTTCAAAATGATTTAGAGGCATATTTTGAACAATTTAAGGCCTATGATCATCAAACTTTGTCAGTTGATGCATCTTGGGTCCTCGGAGTACGTCAACTAAAAAGTAGGTCACCTTGACCTACTTTTTGAATTTTATGGCTAATCTTTTTCAAAACAATTAAGGTCATTAATATTAATTCGAATACTGAGAGGTTTAGAATCATTAAATCTTGTGAGATGATGTATCTTGGGGCCATAAAACATATTTATTAAAAAGTAGGTCACAGTGACCTAGGTTTTGAACTTTGCATGCATTCCATTTCAAAATATTTTAGAGGCATAATTTGGACATTTTAAGGCCTATGATCATAAAACTTTGTAAGTTGATGCATCTTGGGTCCCCCAAAAACGTCAACTGAAAAGTTGGTCACCGTGACCTACTTTTCAATTTATGTCTATAACTAAATATTTTCAGGTACTAATTGGCTTAGAATAATCAAACTTTGTCAGTTGATGCATCTTGGGTCTTCGGAGTAGGTCGACTGAATAGGAGGTCACTGTGACCTATTTTTGAAATTTTATGGCTTTAATTAAATATTCCGGGTACTAATCGGCTTCGAATCATCAGTCTTTGTCAGTTGATGCATCTTGGGTCCTCGGAGTACAAAAACTTAAAAAGTAGGTCACTGTGACCTACTTTTGAAAATTTATGGCACTAATGAAATATTTCAGGTACTAATTGGCTTAGAATCATCAAACTTTGTCAGTTGATGCATCTTGGGTCTTCGGAGTAGGTCGACTGAAAAGTAGGTCACCGTGACCTACTTTTCAATTTATATGACTATAATTAAATATTTTGGGTACTAAGTGGCTTAGAATCATCAAACTTTGTCAGTTGATGCATCTTGGGTCCTCGGAGTACGTCAACTAAAAAGTAGGTCACCTTGACCTACTTTTTGAATTTTATGGCTTTAATTTAATATTTCAGGTACTAATTGGCTTAGAATCATCAAATTTTGTCAGTTAATGCATCTTAGGTCCGCAGAGTTAGTCGACTGAAAAGGAGGTCATTGTGACCTATTTTTGAAAGTTTATGGCTTTATTTAAATATATCAGGTACTTATTGGCTTAGAATCATCAAACTTTGTCAGTTGATGCATCTTGGGTCCTCAAAGTATGTCATCTGAAAAGTAGGTCACTGTGACCTACTTTTGAAATTTTATGGTTATAATTTTAAAAATAATTTAGGTACTAATTGGCTTAGAATCATAAAAATTTAGTTGATGCACCTTGGGTCCTCAGAGAATGACAAGTGAAAAGTAGGTCACCATGACTAACTCTCAGGTACTAATTGGCTTAGAATCATCTTGAGTTCTCAGAGTGTTTCATCTAAAATGTAGGTCATGATGACCTACCTTTGGAATTTCAAGGCTTTATCTAAATATACAGGATACTTAGAGGCTTCAAATAGAAGTGATAGGTTGTACAGTTTATCAGAAGAGCGATTCAAGGCCCTTGGGCCTCTTGTATAATTGTGGAGTTCTAATTTTATAAATGACAGTGAATTATTTCCTACAATTAAGAACCCTCTATACACTGCACACTAAATGGGTCTATTTCTGTGAAATTTCATGCAGTTAGAGTGATCTGCCCTTAGTTCAAAAATAAAAAAAAATCAACACTAAAGTATTCACTTTGTAATCAATTCAAGCATTTTTGACATATAATAAAACAAGATACATTAAAATGAACACTGTATTTATACATGTGTGCATTTTTCCAGCTTTGTAAACAACAGTGATTGCTGGGTTTTTTTTTCTGTGGTAAATGAGAGGTACGCTATGTTGAAAATGAAATCGATAAGCTCAATTGTTACACCTTTATACAATAAAATTTTCTCAGTGTCCAAAATCGATCGAAGTGTTGCCATTGAAATAAAGCTAAAAAAACAAAGTCTTTTCTGCAGAATTACGTCATTTCCTTTATTTCTCCTCCAATACCTACCTGGTTTTCTTCTGTGTATGTTCCTCCCACCGACGTAAAAATGAAGGCCTGTACAGACACATAGAATGTAATGACTATGTTTCTTATTAAAAGGCCAGTGAATAGAATTACATATAGTAGTACAATGCTTTTATTTGACATAATATCAAATGTTGATTATGAAAATAAAATCTTTTCATATTCTATCCTGCATTTTCTAAATAAATAATTCAAAGTAAACATAAGCTAGTTTTCTTTTTAGACAAAACGGATGTTCTTCCCCCTTTTAAATTAATATTATATCATGTCATCACTGCAAATCTTGAAGACTCTCTTTGAATTAGTATTTACTGCAATGACCAACTACATTAATAAAACACTGGCTAAATTTTAATCAGCGGTACTAAGTTATTAACTCAGCAATAACCTTTTCATAATTTCCACATTCTGTTGCCCATGCAGTCACATTATGCTCTTAAATGAAATATGGAGATAACGAACAGTATTCAAGCTCAAAGTCTATTAAAACACTACAAATTTGGAGCAGAGCAAACGCGGACCTCCAAAAACATCAGAGGTGAGATCAGGTGCCATGGAGGAATGAGCATCCCCTGCCAACCGGTCCCACCCTCCGTGTGTTCCTTGTCATGATCGGGGAATAACGGAAAAATCTGTCGACAATTAGATATGATGCGAATGGTGAATTAACGAAAAGGGATCAATCTCAAAAATCCAGAGAAAAAAATGAATCCTTAAGATGAAGAAACAGTTAAGATTTATTCAAATTTAAAGCACCAAAATTTTGAATTGGAGACAACTAAAATAATCACACTTCCGCTTGAAAACGCGAATAAAAAAAATCAAGATCAGTTTGTTGGTAATCGGCACAACATTCTCATGCTTGACATTCCAAGCCTGGGATTTTTTTTTGGCATATTTATTAAATTTCATGCTAGTGTACCTTGATGAAGCTAGCCGTAAATTGCCAGTCCGAGATGTTATAAAAAAGTTAATTTCGACAACCAATGTGTTAGCACACTAAATTTCTAGACATATTCGTAAAAGTAGGAGCAAATTTAATATAGTTAAAAAATACTATTCATAGACACTTCAGCTGAACAACTAAATATTTTTGTATTTTTATTTTTATTGTTCCTCCTTCCATTAATTTTGTTAATCAATAAATGCAGATTTAGCAATATATATCTGCTGTTCATAATATTTAAGAATTCAGTGACTTATCTAATTAAGAAAAACACAACATTCATGCACCTGCTAGTACCTGAATTTCTATCAATTTTTGTTTCGTCAACATTGATTCCTCCAGAGTCTCAAACTTGGCGAGGTATGCCACCATATGACTACAGCGGGCCTTTAAAAGAAGAGGTACTGTGAGAACTGTGCTCACAGAGTGATACCACCCACTCCCACATGAGTATAATGGCAAGGTGAAAGTTTTGCAATGGGAAATTCCAAACATCTATCCAATTAGAACATGAAATACGATGTGCACAATGACACTATGTAACACAGATTCAGTGAAAATCTCATTAAATTACATTCAGTGGTATGGGGGGAGTTGATAATGGGTACTTCCGATATTGAAAAAATGGCACTGTCCCTGTTTTGATATGGGAAATCCCCCCAAAAATCTGTCCCATCAAAAGGTAAAATAGGAGATCACAACAGCACTATGTTATTAAGATTCTGTGAAAGTCTCATTAAATCTTATTCAGTGGTATAAGAGGAGTAGCGGATGAGAGATTGGTACCCCCAAGTTTATGGAAAGAATGGCCATGTTTTGCTATGGGAAACCCCAATTATCAGTCCGATCATAACTTAAAAAGAGGTTACAATGTTATAAAGATTCCAAGAAAGCCTCGTTAATTTTTATTTTGTGGTATAGGAGATGTGGATAAAGGGTTCCATTATTATTGTAGAAAGAATGGCAGTGTCCATGTTTTTCTATGGGAAACCTCAAATATTTGTCCGATCAAAACGTAAAATATGAGGTGCAAAGTGGCACAGTGTAATAAAGATTTGGTGAAAGTTTCATAAAATTGCATCTAGTGATGTAAGAGTAGTTACGGATAAGGAATGGCTACCCCAAGTGATTCGGAAGTACAGAGGAAAATAAAGAGGAAAATAAAGACCTAAAGAGGAAAATAAAGACCTACTGACCGAACGACGGACACCCCATTCACTGTTTATCCCCTTTTTCAATCGAGAGTTTAATAAAACCTTAATTAAAACAACAATAGTGTGTTTTGCTGCATGATGTTTGCTTACAAATGCCTCGTCTCCAGGAACTTTATCTTTGCTGATGTAATAACAGTTTCCCTCGTAAATTTGAAATGGAGATGAACATATGTAGGCTGTAAAACAGAAAATATAATATTTTTTATTGTAGAACTAGGCACTTGATTTTTAGACAAGTATAGCTTAATGTTCAGCAAGATAGAATTATTCGGCTTTAGATATTGAATAACAAGTTTTATCATTTTCTAACTAGAGAAGTACAAAATATGCTTTTACTTTTTAATGACAATATTACATGGCCGTAGGAACCAGGGGGCACGGGGGGGGGGGGGGGGTCGTGCCCCCCCCCAATAATTTTGCCGATATATAGTTTACTATAGAAAATAATTTTGCCGATATATAGTTTACTATAGAAACATAGCTAATATATACTTGTGCCTCCTCAATAAAAACGTCTGATGACCTTTTTTTTTTCTTGTCAAGGAATTTTTTGGTAGTTGATAGTGCCCCCTCAACTGAAAATGTATGGCTGTGCCCCCCCCCCCTCCATCTGAAATTGCTTCCTACGGGCCTGTAACATTATTAAATTTGTATGCACCGTGTAGTCACAGTCCTCAAAAATGAAAGAAAAATTGATTTCTTATCGGAAAATAAATATGGATTAGCCTCGTGATCAAGGACTTCATAGAAGATTTGACAGGTCTGGACGATTTCCATATATGGATGTCAAGAACGATAACTGAACGTTCCGCTTAAATTATAATCGCTAAATGCACGCTTGTGTATGAATATTGAACGCAAGAAAGATAAGTTTGATCAGTATTAAACATTATACATGTACATTAAACATTATATTTATGCCCCCGTATCGCAGATTTAGGGGTATGTAGTGTTTGCCCTGTCCTTCCGTCTGTTGTTTGTCCGCAAAAACTTTCACATCGCCCATAACTTTTGATTGGTTGGAGCTATGGCTTTCATATTTCATATGTGTATTCCTTATGACAAGACCTTTCTTTGAATACCATCATATTTGACCTTGACCTTGGAGTTTAACCAAGTTTTGTAAAATGTTATCGAACTTTAAATTTGGTCATAACTTTTGAAACGGTTGGTGCTAGGGCTTCATACTTCACATATGTAATCCTTGTGACAAGACCTTCCATTAGATACCAACAACTTTGACCCTTTGACTTTGACCTTGGAGTTTGACCTACTTTTGAAGAACTTTAACCTTGGCCATAACTTTTGAATGGTTGGTACTAGGGCTTTCATTCTTCACATATGTAGTCCTTGTGACAATACCTTCCTTTTGATATCAACAACTTGAACGGTTGGTGCTAGGGCTTCATACTTCACATATGTAATCCTTTTAACAAGACCTTCCATTAGATACCAACAACTTTGACCCTCTGATCTTGGAATTTGACCTACTTTTGGAAAACTTTAACCTTCGACATAACTTTTGAACAGTAGGTGCTAGGGCTTTCCTATTCAACATGTTTATTTTTGTGGCAAGGCCTTCCTTTGGATACCAACAATTATAATCCATTGACCTTGACCTTGGAGTTTGACCTACTTTTGAAAAACTTTAACCTTGCCCATAACTTTTGAACGCTTGGTGCTACGGCTTTCATATTTCACATGCGTATTTCTTGTGAGAAGGCCTTTCTTTGGGCACTATTAATTTTGACCATTTGACCTTCATGTTTGACTTGTTCTCCTGTAAATCATTCACTTCTGTACTGTATCTGAATGTATATTGTTTTATATTGTATATACTGATAAGCTGTTAAGCTTAAAGTAACAATAAAGAAGAAGACTTCCTTTTGAAAAAACTTTAACCTTTTCCAAATCTATTCAATGGTCGCTACTAGGGCGTTCATATTTCAAGGGTATATTCCTCGAGACAAGGCCTTACTTTGGGTACCAACATATTTGATTTGCAATTAAGAAAGTTTAACCTTTGCTATAAGTTGCCATACGGGGGCATCGGTGTTTCACAAACACATCTTGTTTTCATCTGGTATTTGTTTTACTCAAACTCTTGCGTAAATCGTTATACAAATATATAAACACACTGTCAGGATCTGCCATTTTACAATACATGAGTCTGAGAATTAAATATTGTATTGGCACATGCAACAATATTTAGCCTCATAAGGGGAAAAAGGTGAAGATAATTAATAGTGATCGATCTCGTAAATGTTGGGATCAGATGCACAGGATGAGGAAGACTCCTGCACTGACAAGGCAGACTGGGCAATCACTGTCAAGGCATATTGGGCAATCACTGACAAGGCAGACTGGGAAATCACTGACAAGGCAGACTGGGCAATCACTGACAAGGCAGACTGGGCAATCACTGTCAAGGCATATTTGGCAATCACTGACAAGGCAGACTGGGCAATCACTGACAAGTCAGACTGGGCAATCACTGACAAGTCAGACTCGGCAATCCGCAGTCAGCATTAAAAAATGGCATAACATGTACAGCTGGTATGAAACATACCAGCGAAAACATGAAAGTAGAAGATTGCATGGATACCAGAATTGTTTTGAATCTACCCAAAATCTAAATATGGAGATGGTATGGAAATTTAAAAATATGGAAAGAAAAATCCTAATAATCTGTAGTAACGAGGATTTCTTCAAAATCCATCACATTATAAAACTGTAAATAACTATAAATAAATTCAATTAATTAGCTGAGATCTTTTTATGTTTTTTTTATTACTTCGAAAAAGGGTTTTATGAAATGCATGATATATGCATCCAGTGGTTCTTGAGAAGAAGATTGTTAAAGATTTTTCCTATATAGTTCAATGTTAAAATTGGATTCCCTATTGCGACCCCGCCCTACCCCCGGGGTCATGATTTTAACAATTCAGAATCTACACAACCCAAGGATACTTCCACATAAGTTTCAGCTTTTCTGGCGTAGTGGTTCTTAAGAAGAAGATTTTTTCTATATATGCAATAATTGTGCTGTTGTTTTCTATTTATTCCTATATATGAAGCAAAATTTATTCAAAAGATTTCTTCATGAGAAAAAGAAAAGTCTGGCTGTGGCCAGAAACTCAACATTTAGATTTATCGACAACGTTTTATCAATTAACAATAGATACGTTAATTCATATATGTCTACTCGATTTATCCCTTTAAACTCGAAAAGAAAAAAAAAACACTACAAAGTTTGGCACATCTGTTTCATATTTGGATGTTTATAATTATTGACTACAGACGTTAATAGCCAACAAATAACTAAACTGTATGACAAACAGATTGACTTAAGCTTTTCCATTCTCAACTTCCCTTAATTATGTAGCAACATTCCAACATCACATATTGAATCAAATATCACAACAGCATATGGTGTTTATGTCTCCCAACTTATTCGATACGAAAGAGCATGATCTGAATACGATCAGTTTTAAAACTGAGTTACAAATGCACAGGACTTCGTGATAAAGTAAAATGCCTGGCTGTTTATAGTTCATGCTTCCTGTTACAATTCAATCCATTAATTTTGTAAATACCATTGCTCTTACACTGTATTCAGCATATATGGTTATTCCATCCGGAACACCACGGGTCTTTCTTGAAAGGCCCGATGTGTTCCGGATGATGCTTATTCCCCCACTTTTGAGGAGTAGCTGTTTTTTTCAGTATTTACAACAGGAAATCAAGTTCCCCCCCCCCCCCCTGATTTTTTCAACAAAAATCGTCATATATAATTTAATTTGCTTTCTTTTAGTTTTTTTGTTTGTTTTTGTTTTGTTTTGTTTTTATTAAATTAAAAAAAAACCTCCCCCAACTGACAACCAAACCAACTATCATTCTGCACAGTGTGAAAGGTATCACACCAGTAATTGACCAATCAAAATGAACTTCAATTGTAGTTCCATACATAATAAAGAAATATTTTTTGTTGTGAGAAATTTTATATTTTCCATTCTATTTTAACATTTCTGGTATCTCTGCTTAGGATATTTTATGTACTTTGTAAAATTTTGAAGGTATTTGACAGGAACTATTTCTCTCAGGGCATGGGAGGCCACTTCCTGGGGTGCACACACAATGTCTACAAACACATTGAAAACACGTGGTTTTGAGGGTATTCCTGATTGCAGATGGAAAAAATCAGAAAATTCCGTTTACGTACCCTATCTTTGGTGTCAGCTGATGTGACGGGTAATGTTTAAGGTCAGATGACACGTTCCTAGAAAATGTATAATTTTTCCCACGAATTTGTCATTGAAGTTTAACTCCCTAAACAAGTTGTCTCACCAAAGATTGAGGTATCTTACCAGGCATTTGGGCATGATACAAAAGGGCGATATTTGTTACATAATTCTTATGGGTAATCTTTTGCATTGCCAATGTCACAATTTTTGGTGTACTTATTTTTTTAAACATATTGAAAACTATTTAGAAATCACAAAAGAATGACAATTATGAATAAATTTTGATATAATACCAAGGTATGCAAAATATATATTTGAGGAACGTGTCGTCTGACCTTTACACTTCCTGCTAAATATTTTTTCATGAATTCAAATACCTGATTTTTAAAGATTTTTTTAAAATTCTATATAGGATTATATACTAGTAGTAAAACAATTACCGGTGTGATACCTGTGGCACATACAGCGGTTTATAAAATCGGGCTCGGTACTCCATACAGAGACGAAAAAAGTGGTTTATTTATAGTGTTTGGAAGAGGTATAATATGTAAGTATTAAGATTTTGATAGATCTGTTTGCCATTTAGAAACACTTGCAGAAATAATATGCTTTCTACCTAACTGACTCATATGCTACAAATCTCCTCGAGCGGATTGCTGTCAAAATGTGTCATTCTACTTTCGATTTCAGTTATGTTAATGGGTTGCTGTAGGCCTTATTTTTATTTACATCATATCTGCATTTTGTTGTCTACCTTGTACGTAAAATTTAAATGCTTAAATTTATTTGAGATGTATTTTGGCAGTTTTAAAATGTTTACGTTCTTGTGTTTCTTTAGTTGTTCATTAAGCATGGTAAGGACATTGGCAAGTCACGGTTATCCGGAGAAAAAAAGAGGTTTTTTTTCACTTATAAAACTGTGATTGAGAGTGATCTCCCGTGTAAAATTCTATACTCAGTGAAAACCAATAAAGTCTGTATTACAGAGATAAATCTAGCTATGTTGGGAATTAATTAAGGGCAAAGATTTGACAAATGGTGAGAACAGTTTCTAGTTCTTGTGAAGGAGGTGCTATTTATAGTAAATACGAATAAAAATTAAAAACAAATCCATGCCAATATTTTTATAACAAGTTTCTATAATCAAGTAAATTACATTATAGTTCTAAACAGACAAGCAGTCTTTTTGCCATTTATGAATAATAAAAGATTCTAAGGGAAGTAACTAAAAAATAAAGAACAGTGCTGGTATATCTGTGTCTTGTTTCTATATTTTCATTTTCAGCCAAATATCTAGATATGATAGGAAATAACGATACAATAATGTATATTAATCATAAACTTTATGAAATAAATGGGTTTTGGAGAAATCTTACAGTGAAAAATTATGTAAGTTCTTTTTATCAACATTTTACATAGGAAATACATTGAGAATTGTAAAAACATTGATTTGACAAAATCTAACAAGGAAGGGTAGTTTGTATGGAAGGGAATTACCGCCAAAAGTCTATTTATCTTGCTTTTATTCTTATTCCGCCTACTTCTTTATTCTTTGTTATTATTGTAACTATATGTCACTTTATTGTTTTCATATTCGTCTTCATTACATTTTATTTGAACTTTTTTCATTCTTCATTTTGTCCTTACTTCTATGTTGCTTTATTCTTGTAAATTCGTTCTTTTTTCTTTTAAATTGATACAGTTTCTTTAATAAATAATTATGATCATCTCTATTACAGATGTAGATTCAGTCACGCAAACCATGAAGCGCATTCAACGAAGACGAATACAAGTATTGTGAATTTAATGCGGCATTATAACGCTAGGTGGCAGGATGTTCGCTGCGATTGTTGGTAAAATTAGGTACGCAAACCCGGGCCGGGGTTATTCGTGATTTTTCAATTTTCTGCCTTAATACTTTATTAATCGAACCCAAATTTAATGATGTATGTTATAGGTTCAGGTATGTACCCGGTGTCGTTCCCCCTGAAGGCTGGCTAGATGGTACAGTAAGACTTCCCCCGAAAGACTAGCTATATAGTGAGACTTCTCCAGGGGAAGTCTCACTATATAGCCAGTCTTCCGGGGGGAAATTCTCACTATATAGTTAGTCTTATCTCCCTCATAGCGAAACTTCCCTCTTTAATTTAGTTTCCGAATATCTTTTTTTATTGTAAAACAATGTTTTTATACTAGTCTAACGTTTTCAGAGTTCGGATAAAAGTTCTCCGTCCTATATGAATGAATGAATAAATATATGAATAAATAATTAAAGCATTTTAATAGTGATTTTTAATTATAATTAAAACATCTTAAACATGCAGGTAAACATAGGTAAACTGCATGTTTCTACGGGTAATGACCTCTTTACTGTTAAACTAATTATGTCTTTTTTCTTTTGATAAGAATCGTCTCGAAACAATACAATAATCTGCTGTGCACGATAAATTTAATGCGCACTTTTATATTGATTCATTTGAAACTATACATCTTTATTTTTGTTTGATATATAAGATCATAACCTAATATGCAATATATACATCTTCGATGTAAATCAAATCCAAACCAAACACGGAAGGGGAAGTCTCACTATATAACCATTGACCCCCCCCCCCCCGGAGGGGAAGTCTCAGTATATAACCAGACTTCCGGGGGGGGGACTCACTATGGGGGAATTCTCACTATATGACACCGGTAGCAGGGGGGAGGGGGGAGGGGCTGGCCACCAAAATTTTTCTACCCATAACTTTTTACTACTGAAAATGTTCAATGAAAGTCTGGTTGCTCCCTCCCACTTTTTGTTGCAGTGTAGTCAAATAAGGGCCATGTATGTGGTGATGTATGAGTAAAATTTGGTACTGAAAGAAGTTGGACCCCCCTCCCCCCAAATAGAATTTTCGAGTTTGACGAAGTTTCCTCTTTCCTTCTTCTTCTTTTTTTTTTTTTTTATTTTTTATTATTATTATTATTTTTTTTTTTTTTGCTTGTCAAGATTTTAAGGTAAGTGTTTTTTTTCTCTGGCTGCCCCTTTCAAAAACAATGCTACGTCTCTAGGTTTTATCTGTAATCGCTGTAAAAATTGCCAATATTTATATTCATGTATTTATATTTTGAAAATCTCAATATTTTAGATTATTTTTGGCGATTTTTGATTTCCAATTTGCTAATATGGGTAGGCAATATCAAGCCGACATTTTACGTATTTTTTGCCAAACGAGACATTGACAAAATGATTTTCTGAGTTATTCTGATGTCAAACACTTTGTGCTTACTAGAGATATTTATTTCTTTATTGAAAAGTGCTATTTCTGTACAAAAAATTAATACAGATTTTCATAAAACCGGAGGAAGTTTCTAGTATGCCCCGGTCTAGCCTGGTTCCGGCCACGCCTACCCATGACGTTCCGCACTACTTTGCAGAGCATTATGGGTTGGCCAAAACCAGACTAGCCCCGGTCCCCAGAATCAGGCGACTGCGCATGAACAATTATTATCCTGAAATAAAGAAATGTGAGTTCAGTGGAAGAATATATAGGGGTCCTGAAAAACAACTCAATTTATAAGGGTATACTAGTAATTATCAAAATATTTAATATTTTTTATATCAATAAAACTGAAATTCAATCATCCAACAAATAACTTGAATAGAGTTATATTTTTCAGGTGACAGAAAATACACAATTATTTCGGAGTTTCCATCATTGGTCCGGTTTTAATGACCCAGATTTTCTTAAAACGTGTTATTTAAAGCAACAAAAGCACATTTGAAAGAAGAAATGCTTATGAATAGTTAAAATATAATGTTCAACATCAGAATAATTTATTTATATTAGCTTTTTGTCAAAAAAAAAAAAACACCTAAAAATGTCAGTTTGATACTACCTTCCCATTTTACCAACTTGGAAATCAAATATCTTTGATAAAATCTAAAATATTGAGCATTTCGGGGCAATTTTACCGCGAATACAAATAAACCTATAACTAACATAACTTGAAAATTTGGGTTCGATTGATAAAGTATTAAGGCAGAAAATTGAAAAATCTCGAATAACCTCGGCCCGGGTTTGCGTACCTAATTTTACCAACACTCGCAGCGAACACCCTGCCACCTAGCGTTATAATGCCGCATTAAATTTACACTATTCGTCTTCGTTGAATGCGCTTCATGGTTTGCGTGACTGAATTTACATTTGTAATAGAGATGATCATAATTATTTATTAAAGAAACTATCAATTTAAAAGAAAGAAGAACCAGAGACATATAAAAACCAGGTTTTTATATGTCTCTGGAAGAACGAATTTACAAGAATAAAGCAACATAGAAGTAAGGACAAAATGAAGAATGAAAAAAGTTCAAAGTGAAATGTGATAAACATGATAAAGACGAATATGAAAACAATGAAGTGACATATAGTTACAATAATAACAAAGAATAAAGAAGTAGGCAGAATAAGAATAAAAACAAGATAAATAGACTTTTGGCGGTAATTCCCTTCCATAAGTTTGGTGGGTTAAATGTACATATACAATATAACATGTTTAGTACCATTACACCTACGTCAAGAGTTCTTGAAAATTCTATACGAAAGCCAGGAACCTTGCCACTCTCTTTAAACTTCATTTATATGTGAGAGGAAAACGGAAGTTCAATTGGCACCTGACCCCACCTCTGATGTCTTATAGGTCCGTGTTTGCTCCTATTTTGTAATGTTTAATGGACTTTTGAGATCGAATACTGATCGTTATTTACACATGTTTCATTCAATATCCATTCATCTTATCTATAAATCATTGACTGATACCAAAAATAATCGGCTTTTGTGAGCTCCAGTGGAGAAAAATGAAAAGCAACAAAACTCTACGATTTTCATGTCAGGCACACAGGTACTTGTGAACAGGACCCTCCCCCCCCCCCCCCAATATTCCACCCCGCGGCTTGTTGGACATAAATCACAAATTATATTTATTAAACTTATTTGTCATGTATGCCATTGGAAAAAATCGGGAAAACTCCCCCAAAAAATCGTTCCACACAAAAAAAATACTCCACTATACATTATAAGAGAGAAAGGTATACCACTCCAGTTTGTTTGTAAACATTGTATCCCCGCTGGTTTTTCCGAGTCACAAAAAAATGTAATTATTTTATTTCAACCTTAAATGTCGGTTGACATTGTCTCTACATATATTTCTTAGTTTTCATGCTATCGGATTGACTCTGCAACTCGTAAGAATCCCACAATTAATCCTTAAAAATGATTGCAGGCAGTGCGTTGGAAAATCCTTATGTAAAAGCAAGGGAAGCGTATAAAGAATGTATTACCTTTTACGATAACACTGAGAGAGATCATTACGTCAGGAAAAACATATCTCTCGGATGTTTTCCTTATAGATAATACATGCTCGGTGTACATTCTTTGCGCTTTATAACACACTGACAGTAAATGTAATCGTTTTTGAGGATTAGTTGTGGAAATTTTATGGATCCAAAACCAGTTTAACTGCATAACTGAAGTCAGAAATATATGTAGAGACAATGTGATGTTTATGGGGTAACGCAAAATCCAAAGTTTTTTGACGTTATAGTAACAAAAATTGCTAATAACCTACTTCGAAACAATAACATTTTTGTGCTAACTTAGATTTTTCATACAATATATACAATTCAGCACATCTCAAGAAATTTCCAAAATTTGACTTTTATGGGGACAAAAGTATACATATATCGCATAAAGCTCTTTTGACTGTCAACGTTAACAAATTGTGAATATCTTTTGATCCATAAAATACTTTAAGTGACTTGGTACCTTTTTAGCTCACCTGAGCCGAAGGCTCAAGTGAGCTTTTCTGATCACATTTTGTCTGTAGTCCGTCTGTCTGTCTTTCCGTCCGTCCGTCCATCTGTAAACTTTTCACATTTTTGACTTCTTCTCAAGAACCACTGGGCCAATTTCAACCAAACTTGCCACAAAGTATCCTTGGGTGAAGGGGATTCAAGTTTGTTCAAATGAGGGGCCACGCCCTCTTTCAAGGGGAGATAATAAAGAATTAATGAAAAATTAATAGCATCATTTAAAAATCTTCTTCTCAAGAACCACAAAGCTAGGGAAGATGAAACTAACGTGGAAGCATCCTCAGGTAGTGTAGATTCAAGTTTGTTCAAATCATGACCCCCGGGGGTAGGGCGGGGCCACAATGGAGGATCCAAGTTTTACATAGAAATATATAGGAAAAACCTTTAAAAATCTTCTTCTCAAGAACAGCAAAGCCATGATGAGTCATATTTAAATGGAAGCATCCTCAGGTAGTGTAGATTCAAGTTTGTTCAAATCATGACCCCCGGGGGTGGGGCGGGGCCACAATGGAGGATCAAAGTTTTACATAGAAATATATAGGAAAAATCTTTAAAAATCTTCTTCTCAATAACAACAAAGCCCAAATTGGTCATATTTATATGAAAGCATCCTAAGGTAGTGTAGATTCAAATTTATTCAAATCCTGACCCCCCGGGGTAGGGCGGAGCCACAATGGAGGATAAAAGTTTTACATAGAAATATGAAGGAAAAATCTTTGAAAATCTTCTTCTCAAGAACAGCAAAGCCCTGATTGATCATATTTATGTGGAAGTATCCTCAGGTAGTGTAGATTCAAGTTTGTTCAAATCATGACCCCCTGGGGTAGGGTGGGGCCACAAAGGAGGATCAAAGTCTGAAATAGAAATGTATAGGAAGATATCTTCTGATGAAGAACTGCAAAGCCATGATTAGTCATTTTGATATGGAAGCATCCTCAGGTAGTGTAGATTCAAGTTTGTTCAAATGATGACCCCAGGGGATAGGGATGGGGCATAATGGGGGATCGAAAATTTTACATAGGAACATACAGGAAAATATCTTCTTCTCAAGAACTGAAAATCATGTTTAGTCATTTTGATATGGAAGCATCCTCAGGTAGTGAAGATTCAAGTTTGTTCAAATGATGACCCCTGGGATAGGGAGGAGCCACAATTGGGGATCAAATTTTTACAAAGGAATATATGGGAAATTTTTTAAAAAATCTTCTCAAGTACAACAAAGCCATTTGTTATATTGACATGGAAGCATCATCAGGTAGTTTAAAATCAAGCCCCCCCCCCCCTCCCCCGTAATCTTTTCTATACTGAACTGATTTGTGCTTTTGCCTTGCCAATGTGCTCAGGTGAGCGATGTGGCCCATGGGCCTCTTGTTTTGAAGAAAAAAGGCCAAGCTGAGGTATTTGTCCATTTTGGACAGTTCTGATTAAGGTTTGACATTAAAATATGATTAAGCTACTGTGGATGCCATTTTTTCAGGGGACCTAAAAAAAACAAAAGAAATAAAACACCAGTACAAGGTGAAAATACACAGGAGATTGGTTACCAAGGTGCAGTGGGTAACGAGAAAAAAGAGATGAAAAATTGTCCACAAGTCATCCATGGAGATGGTGATGAAAACAATGGTGACAAGACATATTTTAACCAAAAACAGAAAAGGAACAAAAATGGTTCAACAGAACAAAGCGATTATTGTACTAATGATGCTGTAAATTCATCTGTTAAAACCACAGAGAATGTCAAAAACACCCAGAAAACGACCGAGGTAGCGAATGCCTTGGGCAATTCTACAAGAAGCACAGCTGATTTCAAAGTTAGATCATTTACAAAAACTCCTGATGAAAACACATGCAGACCGCATGGAAGAACTAGTAATGGGGACACTGACAATCATTCTGAGGGAATTGTTGATAAAAGTCCAGGCAAAAAAACTGACAATCCTGATGAAACGAATAATTCGATGGATTGCCATTCTGTGGAAGGAAGTAAAACTGAACGTACTGACAAGGGAGATAAGAAAGGAAGTGGTACAAAATGCAACGAAGAACCCAACGTTTATGAAAATCAAAAGAGTTTTGAAAAAAGAGACGAACCGATCCGAACACAAAATGAAGCAGAGAGCCGTAAAAAACTCGAAGTTTCTGAAAATAAAATTTCGATTCTGGATAAAAGAGATGAACAGACTCAAACACAAAATGAATCAGAGTTCCCTGCAAACATAAAAGTTTCTGAGAATGAAATTTCAATTTCTGATACTAGTAAAAGAGATGATCAGACTCAAACACAAAATGAATCAGAGTTCCCTGCAAACATAAAAGTTTCTGAGAATGAAATTTCAATTTCTGATACTAGTAAAAGAGATGAACAGACTCAAACACAAGATGTACAGATAAAGAACAAAACAGTTACAATTGTGTTGGTTCTCTATGGGTAAGGGTTATAGTCGAAAAATCCTAAAAGTTCACCTGATTTGTATTTTGTATTGGTTAAAATTCAATGTGTTTACTACTTTATTTTTTCAGTCTTTTGATTCTTTTATTGTTATATTTGGTGCTGAATGCATCTTTTTCATCGATCCATGTACCAAGAACAACAGATGAAGGTATAAAACTATATGATAGTAATAATGTTTTTGTCCTTGCTTTTCCTTATATTAATAGTCAACGTTTCTTTCAAAGGTTCATTTTTGAATATAACTTTGATATGAGTACATTGATATTATTAAAGGATAATAAATACTAAATGTATAAATGTTGAACATTTCAGCATTAAAGAAAATTTCTGATATCATTGAGGAGTTTGGACCCCTAAAACTAGAAAATTCAAAACTCGACAGTAAAATTGACAATCTAGAAAAAGAAGTACAGAAAAAGAAAGATGAGATTAGCAGACTGTATGCAAAAATGGTAGACCTTCAAAAAATGGTGGATAACCTGAGAGAAAAACTTCCCTTCCTGGCCGGGAAGATGAAGTGGATGGAGCAGGAGCAGACAGAGCAGGGTAAGTGAGATTGTTCTCATGGCTTTGTAGAGAAATGTCAGTAACAATTGATGACAGAGCAGGGTAAGTGAGATTGTTCACATGGCTTTGTAGAGAAATGTCAGTAACAATTGATTTACTCCATATTTTAAGGGAACCTATTATCTTTGTAATTTGTACACAGTTTATTAAGGTCTTCCGTTTCCAACGGAAGACCTTCTACTGATTGTGATGATTAAGATTATTCTTTTTTTTTTTTCCTAGACGCCAACTTTGACGCTTCATATCTTCCTCATTTTTAAACAGATTTTGTTCAAATTTTCAGAGCTTTTAGACTTTACAAAACACTGTCAGAATACCGTAATACAATTCGGAAATTACCTTCTGTTCACGAGTTATTCCCCTTTGATTGAATTTTGCATGCCTCCGATTTCCAGACAAAGGCTCAGAAATGGTTATAATTGGAGCACAAAACCCTTTGAAATTGAAAAGAGGAAGCATTGAAGTTGTGCACATCGGTTTTTGTTTTTTGATTTTTGCATTAAAAATGGCGCTAGAGAGGGGTCAAAAGTTAGAACGCGGAAAACAGCAAAAAATTTGACATATTTTCCTTTATATCTTGAAAACTAGAAATATTTTGTTAAGACATGTAGAACAAAAGTTGTGCATAATTGCAAGGGCTTTCATATTATACTATTTAAAAGGGGCTGGCCCCTATGATTAGGGATCTTGGGCCCTTAAAAGTTTTTGCTTTATAACTCAAAAATGGTAAATATTTCGATCTGGATCTTGGGAACAAAATTGTTCTTTTACACCTTTTTGATCTAATGAAAATGTTGTTTTGTTCGAGTATACCATGGGTATTGCGTAATACGAATTAGAAAGCAGGCCAGGTAAACAGGTAACGTTTTTCATTCGGCAAGGAAATCAGACCTCTTCATGTGTATAACTTAAACAGACTTGCTATCAATAATATACCCTGCGGTATTTAATGTTAATTTTCTTTCTAATAAGGTTTAAAACGTGGTTTATGGTTCACTATTAAATTATTTATTACAACTAGTCTTTCTTTTCTTCTTTTTTAAATTAGATTAATAGTGTTCAAAAGCGGAGAATATTAAATCTATCTTTCTACGTTTATTATTACAACAAACTTTGTAAGTGATTTTAAACTGTATGCATTGAATAATTCACGATCATTAGCTGTATGCATATTACGGTCTCCATGGTCAGCTCGATGTTTAGTTATGTAACCCAACGCGCGAATCCCACGCTGTTGATTGAGGTCACCAGTGTACTAGCCACCTGTGGCCATATACCAAGCTAGTATTTGTGATCGCGTATAATGTCAATTTTGTACAAAGAGCTATTAATTTATGGAACGTTATGTTTTTAATTATATCGAATCAGTAAGATTACTTTAGCGATCTTTTATAATCTTAATTCCAAACACTGGTGCATAAAAATCATTTTGAATTTTAATCGCTGTTTTTGTCTGTTCACGCAACAATACATTTAAAAAAAAGTATTGCTCTATCCCGTGTTGTTGTATTTTAATTCATCTGCAATTGTAATTGAATGGGGGCTTCGGTAAATAATTGTAATTACTACGCATGCTACGCACATATTATTTTTACCATCACTCTTGTGAATGTCCATTTATTATTTATAGAATTAAATAAACATTAACATAAATAAAAATTCCTTCAAACATACATGTACTATAATTCAAGTCTTTGTAATATAGCAAACAGTTTCATCCATCTCTGCCGCTTTGTGTCTTAAGTGTTGTAGTCCAGTCCTCGTTTACATACACGTGGCTACAGAGAGCCGCGGGCACCTCGATGTTGAAATACATTGTGTACTCTGATAGTTGCTCTACACAGCACAAACAACTTACGTGTACATGCAGTGTAGTAATTGGCAAAGATTGTTTGAAAAATATAAACTGGCATGTGTTCGCTACGAAGCATTCATTTTAAAATTTTATTTACATGTAGATACCTTATAAGAACAAAATAAAGTAAATGTATAACACTTAGAACAATGTTTAAACAGGTAAGCGTTTTCATTCGGCAAGTAAATCAGAACTCTTCGTGTGTATAACTTAAACAAATTCGCTATAAATAATATACCCTACTGTATTTAATGTTAATTTTCTTCTAAATAAGGTTTTAAACGTGTTCTATGGTTAACTCATAAATTATTTTTTTACAACTTTCTTTTCTTTTTTAATTTAGTTTTAAAGAGAACAGCGTCTTCTAATAAAGGAAGGAATTAAATGTATCTATATAACTATATAAGTAATATTAAACTTTAAGCATCGAATAATTAATGATCATTAACTGTGCCTTTTTACGTTCTCCATGTTCACCTAAATGTTTTTAGTTATGTAACACAACCCGCGATCCCACGTTGCCGAGGTCACCATCGACCAGCCACCTGCGGTCATAAACCATGTAAACAAAACAAATATCTGTGAAGACTGTGATCACGTTTTTAATCCATCGTGCAGAAACAACGACTAATGAAACATTATGTTTTTTTTTTATTTATATTGAATCTTTAAGATAACTTAATCTCATCTTTGATTTAATCTTAAGCGTTCCAAACACTAGTGCATAAAATCATTTCGAATTTTAATCGCTTTTACCGGCCTGTTCACTGTCGACACAACAATACGATTTAAAAAAAACAAAAAAAAAAAAAAAACAACAAACAAACAATTTATTTCTCTGTCCCGTGTAATTGTATTCAATTGTTATTGAAAAGGTGCTAAGGCAAATAATTGCAATTAGTGATGGAAGTATTAAGTATTAATACTTGTGTAAAGTATAATTTTTACTATCAGTCTCTTAATTGTTTCTTCATTAAATATTAAACTATATACATCAAATAATACTTTTAAACATACAATAATTCACGCCTTCTTACAGCACAGGTTACATTCTGCTCTGTCGCTTTGTAACCCAGTCTTCGTGCACACGTGGCCGCAGAGAGCCGGGGTCATATCGGTGTTAAAATACATTGTGTACTCATAGCGATTAATGGAAAATTGGGTTTGAAATCATTTCGAATCTTACATATTATTTTATTTTACTCTATCTCACGCTTATTTTTATCAATCCTTACCGCCCGTGCATTTATTCATTTCAAGTTTTACGCATTTTAATTGCCGACTTAACCATTAAGTTTGCAACAATTTATTTTTCTGTCTCGTGTTTTAAACTGCATGTACACATGCATGATAATTGTAAGTGGAGGTGACTTTCTCAATTCTCGGCATCCTCACAATATCAAGGTATTGTGATTTCGGAACCTTAATTGACATTGTGAGGATGAATTCTCGGGAAAATCGGAAAGTTTTACGGATACATACATACATACATGCATGCAAGTACAGAACATGCTCTTTTTATAAGCACGATCATGAATTCGAATGTACATGTATATGCAAGAGCGCCCCAAATGTACGCATATCGAGTGTTTAAAATACAGAGAAATACAAAATCCCCGGTCTCTGTTTTACATTATCTTTGCAACAAAATATTAGTTTTATTTATTTTTTATTTTAAACATATTTTATTGAAACATAATCAATAGGATTGGACACAAGTTTTACCAACTTAGAATTGTCCTCTCCAACACAAACAAAATGATATATACATATACACGTGATGTACAACCAACATATGTACAATACAAAAAAAGTGCAGGGAAATAAGAAAAGAGTGGGGAGGGGGGTGCAAAGAAAGAAAGGAAAGGGGTTTTAATAGGTACAGAATGGTTACGCTGCGTATTCATAAAAATCTTTTCGATTTTTTAATATATTTGTGTACGGCTTTAACTATGTTCATATTATTTTGTTGGTTAATCTGAAATCAATTTTATTGATCTATAGCTTATTTTGAAGTAAATTATCGGTCCACTGAGTTGATAATGAGTTGTTTTTATAACGGGTACATTTAGAGTATTCCGAATCACTTTTTACTTTTTGACTGTAAACGATTTTATTAACAATTTTATAAATGGTTGGTTGGTATTAAAGGAAAGCCAATTCAATGAAAAATCAAATCTACATTACACGGCGAGTCTATCTACGATACAGGCCTTGACAGGGGTTATATTTACATCACCTTTTTAGTGTATTGCAGGTCACTTCCGGGTATTTCGAATAACCAGGTAAATGGCTAAAAACAGTCAGATAACAACATTATAATTAATGAATTAGTTGGTATTGTTTACCAAAAGTATAAAAAAAAATAAAAAGAATTATTTTCTTGTTGAATGTTGTTGTTTTTTTTATTAAGTTATTAAAGCCCCCCCCCCCCCCCCTTCTGTAGACACACTATAAAACAGCGTTCTCAGAGGCGGATCATGCAGAAAAGCAAATACCAACAGAATATTACTTTCTGAAATTACCTGATTGTAAATTGTTGTCCTGTAAATATAATCATCATGGCCGTAGGAACCGGGGGGGGGGGGGGGGGGGAGGGGGGACACGGGGGGCCGTGCCCCCAATAATTTTGCCGATTTATAGAATACTATAGAAAATATAGCTACTATGTGTTTGTGCCCCCTCAATAATAACGTCTGATGACATTTTTTTTTTCGCTTGTCAAGGAATTTTGGTAGGTGATAGTGCCCCCCAACTGAAAATGTATGGTTGTGCCCCATCAAAGTGAAATTGCTTCTTACGGGCCTGATCATGATAATTTTGTAATTTTTTTTTTTCCTATGTGATTTTTTTAATGCAAATAATTAACATTGAACTGTCATAATTCTACGAGTAGGCTACCAAATAATGATATAATGATGATAAAAAAAATTGTGAAAAGGAATTAAACCAACTCATGTTTAGATTTCATGATTATTAAGAATGACGTATATCACTGCATACGTGTGCTCGTACATATCAACATTGATCAACACTGATCACGTGTATACCGGGACCCGGGATAGTCTTATTATAGCTCTTGCTTTGTCAAATCATTACTTTCATACCCCTTGCATTTAAGAAA